GAGGTCATGTCCACATAATCATTTCACCAACAAATAAATATCAAACAAAAATCATTTGCCTCGTGGGTTTTAAAATCCAACACTCACATCAATTGCCATTTATCCCCTTCATTTTCCGTCTAAAAATTATTTAATTTTGTACTATCAATTGCAATTTTTTGCTCTTTTATGGCATTGTAAATGAGCTAAACAATTGAAATAAATTTCTTTGAACGAGCTTAACGAGTTAAATTTAAATTTATTTATTAAATTTGTTCAACAAATTATTTCAATCGAGTTTAAATTAAAACTTGTAAAGAAACATAAATAACAAAAAAATTAAGATGAAGTTTAAATTTTCAAGCTTGAGTTTAGCTCGAGCCAATATATTTTTATTGGATTGATTTCAAACTCAGAGTACTCTACTTATATACGATCCAAAATTTTAAGAAAAATATAATGAAATATCTTACATTATTGCATTCAAGTAAGTATTATTTTGGCAGTATGATACATTTATTATTATTGGAATTTTCTTACTGAAATTATAACATATTGATACATGACATATGTGAAAGATATGTTATATAACAGAGGAGATGTTATTTTCATAAAATAAATTATTTGTTGCACGCCATTCAATAGTAAAATATGAGTAAAATGTCAATTACGTATAAAAAATATAAAATGTCAATTACGTTTTCAGGGTCAGCCAAGATGACCCTTCATACATATCCAAATCCCAATTACAATAAATTAAAATTAAAAATTTAATAATAAAGACAAACAAATTAATTGAATATTGGAAATAAATCCATTTTAGTGTTTATCCATGGAAACACGATGGAAAGCAAGTGCTGGCTTGGCTTGGATGTGGTAAAAAGATAAAGGTAAAATTAGCACAGTCAATGTACAGAAAATTAACCGTTACCATACCCTATTGATCTATGGAGAGAAAAGGTGTCTTTTACTGAGGAAGTGACACCTGTTGATTTTGTTCATTTTTTAGAGAAGATCTTTTGTCCCTGTTTTCTGCTGGGGTAGAAATCAAGTAGATAGAGAATTATTAATTATTTTTTTACCTTTTGGAATAGGGAAGTTACTTTGGTATTTTTCCTCCATGTAAAATATTTTTAACCATTTGAACATTGAATTTGAATGGTAGGTTTTGTTTTTAACCCTTTTGTGTTTGTGCGTTATAGGCATGTTCTACTGTCCAGAATTATAACCTGTGCCTCTTGAGAGGTTGCAGGACACCCTGGATGCCACCATGCTAGTTTTTAAGTCTCTCTATTTTTTTTTTTTTTTTTTTTCTTACCGTATAGCCCCTATATCTGATCTAATGGTTAAGGAGAAAGGTAGTCTTGTTCTAGAAGGAAGTGCACACCTGTTGATCTTATTGTTCATTTTTTTCTAAGAGAAGACTCTTTTAGTCCCTCGTCATTTCTGCTGGGGTAGAAATCAAGTAGATAGAGAATATTAATTATTTTTTTTACCTCTTGTATTTGGAATAACTGCGAAGTTACTTTGGTATTCTTTCCTCCTGGTAAAGATTATCTTTTATACCATTATGGAACATTGAATTTGAAATGGTAGGACATTTTTCATGTAGTTTTATAACCCCTTTTGGTGTTTGTGCGTTAATAGACATGTTCTAACTGTCGGCAGAAGTTAATAGTCACTGGTATGCCTCTGCGAAGGTTGCAGGAACACCTGGATGCCACCCATGCTAGTATTTAAGCTATCTTCCATACTATTTATTTTTTTTTTTTTATTTTGAAGTTTATTAGGGAGATTTTTTTTTTTTTTTTTTTGAAGTTTATTAGGGAGATGTCTTTTATTTGCATTCACGCCTTTTGGAAAGAGCCTAAATTAAGTTCTCGTTTAGGTGAAAGAAGTATGACTGCTTTACTAATACTTGAGATGTTATAAAATCTATATTTATATGTTAGCCATGTCTACACATATATGTATGAATGATTTTTTTATAATAATAACTGGAAACAGAAATTATTATGATTAGAAAAAAATCTTAAAATATATGGAATTATAAAATTGACAATATTTTTTAGGATAAAAAATAAAATAGTGTTTTTTATGAAAAATTTCTCTATGAAGACAAAAAGTTTATTTTTAATAAATAATTTTTCTTTCAAAAAAACAACTTTCTTCCATTAATTTATTGTACAAGACAATTGATTACATATTCTTAGTATGGACAGTGCACTCATTATCAATTAAGTAGTTAGTGGTGGTTATCACCTATTTTTGACATAATTATAAATATATTATTTTCTCTCATATCCAAATAAAATTATTGATTTTATATTTAAAATATTTTCATAATTTTAAATATTGAAAAATTATTATTTTCTACTATAATTCAAATATAAACATATTTTTTAATTCCAACTGTTGTAACCAAAAAAAGAAAATAAGTTACTCTTTCAAAAAAAAGAAAATCCCATATTTTTGGGTAAAATATTACATAAATTATTTTCAAGTGGATTAAATAAACTAATCTTAATTTTTATGTGATTCACTTGATTTCTTAATCATAATAGTATATAAAAATTTTAGTTATCTACATTAATTGATTACCTTGGATCCTAATGATGGATCTTAGATACATTTATTTTCTAAGTATATGCAATTATCAAAATATAAAGGAATATATTACATACAAGCATACTTGTTAAAATTCTGCAAGATCCAGCAGATTAATTCGGATAATCGGTGAATTAATTTTAAAATTGAGCTTAAGAAAGCGAATTGAATTAAACTAATTGATCGATGGTTAAATTAATTGATCCGCACAGACCCAATGGATAGACCGATTTTAATATTATAATTATTTGAAATTAAGATGAAGGCATCATATTCATATGTCATTTTCCAAAAACTCGAAGGCTTTATGAGGACAAAACTATGGTCAATGTGTACTATGATAAGAACAGCGAAGAACAATAATTAAGTGTTTTAAAATCCAATCCAAGATTTTGCTTTTGGAAATTCCGATTAAGGCCCTAAATTCACATTTTTGGTAGTTGTAAAGTCACAATTAGCGTGATTTTTATACCATCATTAGCAAGGCCGAAATGATAACTCACAAGCATACTAGAGATCGAGTAATAATTCAATAAGCCTAAATATTTGTCGCATTTGTTATTTACTTAGCGACAATTCTTCAATTGATAGTTTTTTTTTTCTTTTCCCTTTGAGAACCAATAGGAGTTGATGGATTCGTAATTAAAAGTTGATCCTTTCCGTAGCCAAAGTTTAAAAGACCAATTTAGTTCTATGTTGCATGAAAATGGAAAAGATAGGGAAAACAATATCTAAAATATAATTTTATATGAAAAAATAACATTTTATACAGAAAAGTGGATTCGCGGAAATGACTGTAGCTAAGAGTTTTCTTATGTTTTTATATTAACATAACGTTCAGTAATAGTTTTTTAAGTAATTATGCTAAATGTAAATATTTAATAATATAGTGTTTGAACTAATTTTTAGACGTTAAGATGATATTTTATAAAAAAGTTAACTTATGTAATTTAACTTTTAGCGTTTTATGAAAACTATTTCACACCTATAAAAATAATTAATTTTACCGAAAAAACCTTAAGAGTCAAGCATTTGACTATTGGAGTAGACAGCTTAATATCCTTGTTGCTCTCACGTATAAATACTCTTCCAAATGACATTATTATTATTATTATGTAATTTTGGATATAGTTTATTTTTTAATCCAATCTACATCTAAACTATGAAGTAAAAGGCAAGCCTTCTTCTGCTAAAAGGGCTTGGTTGAACAAGTTGAAATCTATAAAAAGATTAATATAAGTGTCAAAACAATTTCGAGTCTCACCGGTCTAAAATCACCATTCACTAAATTGAAATTACTAATTCAATAAACCGGATATTTTTAAGTTCTAAATTTAATTTGATTAGAACAGAATAAATATATTGAAACTTCTTAATATATGTATGTTGTGCCTAAGTAAATTGTTAATTGGCTCAAAATCAATTTTAACTGATATTGGTCATTTTTTTTTTTTTAAGAAAAAAGAATGTTGGATATTAACTCTTACCATTTACATAATAAATAGAATTACTTTGCTGTTGGATTATTAGTGGAAGGGCAAGGTAAAGTTGATCTCAATTTCAATAAAAGTAATAATACAAGTTTGATTTCCAGGAAGTATATTTTACAGGGAGAGCTAAAAATTTTTACTGTCCAAAAAGATTAACCTTCTTGATATTTAAAAAAAAAAAAGATTGAAAATTTAGAAAACCATATATAGGCACCAAAAGTCACATGCAAATGCTTTGATAGGCAAAAACCAGTTGATTACAAAAACTCAGCAAAATTTGCATGGTGAAACCAAAGTTTGGCTATGATTAGAAAAAGCAATATCTCTACTTATGATCTTTTGTCATCTTTTATTTCCCTTTTATCTCAACTATTACTATTCTCTTTTCTAGAATTTCTTTTTTTTTTTTTTTTTACTTTTTACTTTTTACAGTTACAGCCTTACATATACTATTACATAGCCTCACATCACTAACTCACTGAGATTTCCTGCATTCAATTCACCTCCCTTTCCAAGCCCATGACGTGTGTTTATTGGGAACCCACCTCTACATATAATATTATTTTTCCCATAAATTAAATATATTTTTCATTTTAAATTTTAGAATTAAAAAAATTATTTGGTGGGCCTCTCGAGGCAAGGAAGGCCCAGGTGATACCCACTGCCACACCTCTCTGCTACCATTTTCTTTTCTCTTAACTTATTATAAATAGCACCAATGCTCTCTCATTTTACTGACTCAACTTCATTTCTTGAAAAATAATCACTTTTTCAACTCTGCTCTTCTCTCTCTCTCTACAGCTTTCTTGAATCAAAAAAAAAAAAAAAAAAAAACCTCCTCTCTCAGCTTTCTTGAAATCAAAAAAAAAAAAAAAAAAACATTAAAGAGTCTTTTGATAACTTCATCTCGCCTGCCTGAAAAAAAAAAAAAAAAAAAACCATTAAAGAGTTCTTTTTGATAAACTTCATCTCCCTGCTTGATTCCTTTGTTCCTTGTTTCTTGATTTTCTTCCTTGTTTCTTGATTTTCTTCCTTGTTTCTTGATATTTTGTTATAAATGGCAACTAGTGCTACTCTTAGACATAGTACAAGTGCACCAGCTCAGTTTTACTTTGATGAGAAGTGGAAGCTTTCCAAGAAAGAAGGATCATCAAGAAGCAGATTATCAACTTCTCCTCTCATGAAGAGTACTACTTCTCAAAGGAGGTGTTCTTTTACAAGGAAATGTGCAAGATTAGTTAAAGAACAAAGAGCAAGGTTTTATATAATGAGGAGATGTGTTACTATGCTTATTTGCTGGAGAGACTATAGTGATTCTTGAAAAATTAGAGAAGAGAAACCAAAAGTTGAGGGATTTTCAAGAAAAGGAGAGAGAAAATTCAAAAATGGTTAAAGAAAGATGAAAATTTGTTTCTCTCTTGTTTTGGCCTCTTCATTTCTCGATTTCTCTTTCTTTCTATGAGATGGGTTATTTGGGTTCTTGCATTTTCTTCGCATCCAAGGAGGAAGAGGAAGAAGAAGAGGAAAAGGAAAGAGGAAGAAGGAGAAGATGAAGATCTATTATATATATGTATATAAATAGCTATTTTTTGGACTTTTTTTATTGCACTCGCTGTTTTTCTTGGGTTAATTAGATTTTTTTTGGGTCCTGATGAATCTTTTTTTGAAAGGGTTATAGTTGGGTTCTTGAAATGCTATTAATGAGTTGCTTTCTACTTTCAGCACTAGAGATCAGTTCTAATAGAGAGAATTAATCAAATACTAATATAGCTATTTTATATATATTTACATATTTTCATTTTCTGGGTTTTCGTTTCTTTCTTGATTTAATATAGATTTTTTTTTTTTCCTTTCTCTTGTGATCTCACATGCCTTTCTAGAATTTGGGAAAGAGAGTGAGATTCCATTCAACTATTGCAGCTACTTGCAGGGTGGATCTGGTGTGCTAGACTTGCATTAAAATTTGTTATGTTTAATTATTTAATGCAATCATTAATTTAAAATAAATTTTAGTCGATGCATCAAACATTTTTCTTCCATTATTTTTACTGCACAGTAAATTAATGATTTAGATGGTTAATATTGAAGTTTTAAGTTATTAATTAAATAGATAATTTAGTGGTTAATATAGTATTTTAATGGATAAATATTTAGTTTACTATTATTATTAGATTCTTTTATTCTACATAAAAATATTTAGGGTAAAAGAATCCCCCAGCTTGTATGCTGTCATTTCTAGTTTTAGGCTAATAGCTACAGAACTTATTGGTGGCACAAATCACAAGGTCTTGTGATGGCTAGCCCCTAAATGACCATTACGTCCGCATCCCTTTAGCCATTGACCATGGAGCTGGACCACTTTTGACCACCTATCCATCCTGGGGGTATTTTGGTCAATTCATGTTATGGAAATTCATCTATTACTAAATGCATGTGATGTAAATTTTGTTAAAAAGGAAGGGTAAATGAGTCCAAAAAAATTGAACAGCTGGGATTCCTGTTGTTTATACTGCGGGTATGTACTGTGTAATGTGTGTGGTATGATGGAAAGGTCTGACCATTCAATAAAAAATGGAAACCTTTGGAAATCATAAAGCTTCAATTCTAAAATAACTAAAAAACAATTTCTGAGTTCAAAAAACTTTTTTGTTTTTGGTGTGTGACATAAAACAGATCACAAACTTTTTTTTTTTTTTTTACATAATTTTTCTTTAGATGCATATGAATATGATAATAACATAATAAGAATAAGAAATAGGACAGTACTGCTTTGGCAACCCATTACCGACAATCAACCTCCAGAACTCCACATGGCTTCACTCAAATCTATTCACAACCCCACACCCTAATTTCATTTTCTATGATGGAACTTATTTAATAAATTTTTCTAATTCTAGTTTAATTATGTCAAAAGACAGCAAAAGATGATTTTGATAAGTAAAATTTAAGTGATGGTTTTAGCAGTTCTTTAGCTATTGCAGTACATGTTAACTATTTTATTTGCTTATATCTATTTATACAGCGATTTAAATTAAAAGTGTTTAATAAAAATAACTGTTTAATTTAAAATAATAAAAAAAATATTAATTGTTTTATTAACTGAATTTAGAAGAAAAAAGACAAGTGAGAATGACCTTTAAAAAATTTTAATTAAGAGCCAAAAGTTAAAATATTTCACATTTCATAAAAAGTTCGTTTAACTTATAAAAACTATTATAAAAATTATGTTAACGAACGCTACAATGAATAGAAATAGAATTTTAACTTTGTTCTTACAATGCTTTAGTTAAAAAATGTTATAATCTATAAAATTCAATAATATCTAATATGTAAAAAAAAGAGAGAAATTATGTTTAAGAGGTGAGATTTTATTAATTACATAGATTATGTTTTCCAACCAAATAATAAAATATGAAATTTCATTGATTATACAATTCATGGATTCTACATTCTATAAATTTTATAAAGTTTATAAATTTCAAATCCAATTAATCCAAAACAACTATTAAAAATAAAATGGAGGGATAAATGGGTATATTCAAATATTTCCTGAATTAATTCAACTATGAATTTCATTCTACCATGTTAACAGAGAGAAACACGCGCGATATTCTATTTTCTTTTAATTATGGAATATGAAATTGCATGAATTCTAACATTTTAAATTTTAGATTCCATCAATTCAGATAACCATTTAATGATTAAACCGTTAAACAATAATTTTATATTTCGCCTTATATAATAATATTAAATTACCAACCCTTTAAATTTAGTGAAATAATGTTGGTCTATATTTATTAAATACTAGGAAATTAATAATTGAGTTGAGGCTTCAACTAATCAATACAACTGTTATTAACTTGTTATGTTAATAACATTTTTTTTTTTTTTTTTTTTTTTTTTTTTCAAACTAATCAATACAACTGTTATTAACTTGTTATGTTAATAACATTTTTTTTTTTTTTTTTTTTTTTTTACTTTGAAGACAATAGGTAGAACATCTTACTTTTTCACTAGAATAGTTTTTTTTTTTTTTTTTTTTTTTTTTACTTTTGACTACAATAGGTAGAACATCTTACTTTCACTAGAATAGGATAGAAGCTCTTGTTTGGATAATCTTATATGATCGAAGTGTGAAGTGAAAGCAAAGAAAAGATATGTAACCCTAAAATATCTCCATCTAAAATCATATTCTCAACAATTTATTTAAAGTGTGACATCAAAATCAATAGCAATAAAAATAATTTAAATTCATGCAATATAAACCCTAACCCATTTTTTAAATTTATTCCCTATAATGTTAAATTTTTTTTAATTTTACCTTTAAAATAATAATTTTCATTATATTATAGATAAATAATGTATTTAGTGATTTTAAATATATAATCATAAATTTTATAAAGTACCATCTAGAACTTGAAATATGTTAAAAAAAAAGAAAATATTATTAGTCCCAATAAAATTTTTATATTAATTTTTATTTTATTTTTTTGAAAGAGTAAAAACTATTCATTCACTCAAAGAAAAAAATTCCGAAGACAATCAAAGACTCGGTTCCAAATCTGTGTAAAAAGAAAATATTATTAGTCCTAATAAAAATTTTTATATTAATTTTTATTTTTAAGCATTGGAAATAAAAATTATCAATGATGGTGAGATTTAAATCCTCACATCTATTCATATGATTTGAGGTTTCTCAACTAAAGACACAAATGTAATATTTATTCCTTGAATATATTATCATATATTTCTCTATTCATTTTCCAATGCTTATCGCAAATTACTATTGATTTGCTATTTCTAATGTTCTTACTGTCCTTTTTGTTGAATTTGGGTATGGATTCTATTTCAATAATGTCTTTTTAGGTTGAATTCAAAATAGGTTATAATTGACCTAACTTTGAAATTCTATGATAGGCTTCTTTGATTTGAGAATCTAAATTACAACTATAAAATCTTATTTTCACAAAAATAATAAATATTCATTATTTTTGTGTAAGAAAATTTATGGGTTCATTAAAACAAATTAACACATAAATCTTTAAAGTGTATTAAACAAAATTCAAAAATTTGAAAACATTTAAGACCCAAAAATATTTTTGTTTCATGTTTATAAATTCAAAGAAAAAAAAAATTATATAGTCCATGCAATTTTCTTTTTTCCTTTTATTTTTAACTAATCTTTCTTGCTAGGCTCACTTGAATGCTATAATTAAGTATTCTCCACTTTTGGGCTCTATTGTGGGCTAAGACAATTATTAGTATAGGTCATACCTTATTTTCCTATTCATTTCCATGCTTTCTCCTCTTCTTTTCTTTGGTCTTACTTCTTGATTAGGGTCAACAAGAAACTTTCCTTCCCTCAACAATTTTTATTCTTTTGATGCACTTTCTAGGCAATCAAACAATATAATCACTCCTATTGCAGATTTGAATATTAATCATTGGAATTTAGCATTGGCATGCTAAAGGATACACTTAAAAACAAAAAAGAAAACTAAAGTAACATTATCTTTTCTATAAACTTGAGTGGAGATGGGACCTTTATATATATATATATACCCAAATTGGTTAATGAAGATAGAGGAAAACATATATAATATTAATAATCACCCCACAAATCCTAAACCTCTTTTTATTACATCTTTGAAAATCTTACTTGATATTTCCACATTGATGTTGACCATTTTCTCTCTCAACTCAAATATTTTACGTTTGTTAGCAAAAATATCACTATGGTGTTCGGTAACAATGTTTTAATTTGCTTTTATCATTTTAACCGGTCAAAATATTAAAAATTATATTTTTATAATTTTCGGTGACATAACATTTAAATTAACTTTTAGTATTTTATTAAAAAGTTACTTAAACAGCTACCAGCTACTCACAATTTACCAGGCCTCGGGAGGTTCTTTCTTTTGTTTTTTGTTTAAATAAAGGATTAATTGAGCCATTAATATTTTTATTTTTTATTTTTTTTATGATTTTGAGTGTGGATTCTTATGGTTATAGTCTATCAAGTTGTTGAGTAAAACATGATCTTAAGCACATAAAGATTGATAGGAGACACACAAGATCATAATTATGATTGAAGATTGATTCTGTAATCTTGATATGAAGACTTTAAGCGCCACTATCAATTAGTGAATCTACAAAGACTATGCTTCTTTTTTATGGGTCCATGTACACCGTAATTCTAATGAGCATATATAGAAACTAATCTTTAAATTCAACATTGTTTTGTCAAAATCACACTCTCTTTTTAGCAATAAAGTTATTGGGATTAGCTTAATCTTTCAATTTGATTTTTCCTTTTTAAATAAATATACTACTTTACATTATATATCTACTGTTTTTCATATTTCTTGTAAAAAAAAGGTAAATATATAATAATTATAATCATTTTAATTATACCAAATTAAATGGAATTTGATGGACCCTCTTGAACCTTGACCTAGATAATAAAAATGATTATTTATATTGAGGTAAAAATTGAAGCTCTAATAACTTATGGGTGCCTTAAAATTTTATTTTTATTCTTTATAATAATTTACCTTCCATTTCACATAATATTTTATTATTTAATGCACTAAACAATGTTTGTCTAATGCATACAATTGACCTTGTACTTTCAAGGATTATTTTTATGGCCCTCTAAAATTTGCATGGGACCTTTCACAACACTTCATTTTCATATTTCAGTAAAAATTATGTACCTTACCAAAAGATAATATGAAAGTATAGGATCATAACAGAACTCCAACAAAGTTATTTCATTTTGATGGAGACATAATTATTGCTGAAATGTGAA